ATGTTGGCGATCTTGCTTACGTGTTGTTTTCTTTACTGGAATCTGGCTATACTTTGAACGTATGTTGTTGCTGGTGTTTTTGTTGATTTTGTTGTTGTTGATGTTGTTGTTGATGTTGTTGTTGATGTTGTTGTTGATGTTGTTGTTGATGTTGCTGGTGTTTTTGTTGATTTTGTTGTTGTTGATGTTGTTGTTGATGTTGTTGTTGATGTTGATGTTGTTGTTGTTGTTGATGTTGTTTCTGTTGTTGTTGACGTTATTATTATTATTATTGTTGTTGTTGTTGTTACTGTTGTTGTCAGGCTATTTTCGACGTCTTGCTTCATTATTAAATACATTTCCAAATTTTTTCCTCAGGACCCATTCATAGCAGAAAGTGTGGAATGCCTGCAAAGTAAACTGAATGACCCAGATTCGTCGCATGACCCAGATTCGTCACACGACCCAGATACGTCACACGACCTAGATAAATTAACATTGCGTGACCTGGTTTATTTAATGAAAGTATTTACATTGCTCGAAATGGAAAGTGAAAGTTCGAAGATTTACAAGATTCTGGAGGAGAAGTATGTCGTCGTTGGAGGTCAGTTTTGAGTTGAGAAGACGACGACGAGGATGATGATGATGTCATTGGTGATGACGTCATTAATTAAAATGTTGTTGTTGTTGTTGTTGTTGTGTTTGATAATGACGTTGTTCATGTTTATTATTACCCTTGAAATTCATCATCCATTTCCGGTGCAGTTTTGCAGGCGGCAGAGATCAACAAATCAGACAAAATCATACTGAATTCATACCTCTTACAACACCACCTGAGGTACAAGCCCGTTGATTGGACGAGAATTGAGCCAATCAAAAAATGGCTCCTAGAACAAATGAGTTCCATTGGTGGATATTACACAATCAAAGTAAGATAAGTTCGTTATTAAATTCGTGGCTAGTTTATAATTATTAACAGCAATAATTATAACAACAATAATAACTTTCATAAATAAATATAATTAGATAATTGAAATTTAATTAAATTAATACAGGACACAGTGACGGCCATAGAAGTTGTACTCCAGTTATCGACCAGGGTGTACAAAGAACAGTTAGCAACTTTCCCCAAAGACCCGAACTTCACCATGAGGTATCAATTTAATGTCAATCTGGGATCATATTCAGCGATGGCGCCAAATTTTGGTGAGGCCGTACAATTTATAAAGTTAAACGATCAGCCAATCAGGTACAAGCTTGATTCGTTCGCATCCAATCAGAGTTGTGCAATTATGCAGGTACTTTTTAGTCGTTGAATGGTATCTAAATTTTTATGATATAATAATGATAATGATATATCACCGAAAGGACATCATTATCACCACCTGCAACGACCACACAATCATCATCACAACCACCGATAGCAACTACACAATCATCATCAGCACCACTACACCATCATCATCATCACAACTATACCATCATCATCATCACAACTACATCATCATCATCACAACTACATCATCATCATCACAACTACGCCATCATCATCATCATCATCATCATCATCACAACTACACCACCACCACCATCATCAATTGAACAGGTGAAAACTGAAGCAAACTTGGTGACCTTCACTGGTGACCAACATCAAATCTCAAACTTCAACATGTCAGTCGGCGTCAAAGCCAGCCAGTTCAACTGCAAGGAAAAGACCCTGCATATATGTTTCCAGTGAGTGAATGGATGAATGAATGATTGATTGATTGATTGAATGAATGAGTGAGTGAGTGAATGAGTGAGTGAGTGAGTGAGTGAGTGAGTGAATGAGTGAGTGAGTGAATGAGTGAATGAGTGAGTGAAGAAGCAAGTCAATGAATGAATAAATGAATGAATGAATGAATGAATGAATGAATGAAGGAATGAATGAATGAATAAATGAAGGAATGGGTAAAGAAATGAAAGAAAAAACTAAAAAAATTTACATAATTTAAAAAATTATTTTAAATATGATCTCCAGTTACAATGGCGAAGAGAACGATGACGAAACCAGCGTATCGACATTGTCAGTTGACTACCCAACTGGTTGGATTGGTGACGATGATTCCATCGATAGAGTGAGTGATGAAAATGAAGGTGATGAGAATGTTGTTCATTCGCTCACTCACTCACTCACTCACTCACTCACTCACTCACTCACTCACTCACTCACTCACTCACTCACTCACTCACTCACTCACTCACTCACTCACTCACTCACTCACTCACTCACTCGTTCACTCACTCACTCACTCACTCACTCACTCATTCATTCACTCACTCACTCATTCACTCACTCACTCACTCAGTCAATCAAACAATCAATCAATCAATCCTCACTCATTCACTCACTCACGCACTCACTTACTCACTCACTCAGATAAAGCACAGCATGGATTTTAAAAAACTTCTGAAAAGTCAGCACGGCTTGTTATTCTACCTCGAGAAGATAACGAAACTACAGCAGTGCTTTCATTTCAAAATTCTCGAGATGGCAAAAGTTAAAAATTTAAAGCCTGCCATGGTCACTATTACAGATTATAAAAATCCCGGTTAATTAGTGGATGGATTGAGTGAACGAATGAATGAAAGAATGAATGAGTGAATGCATGAATTAATGAAAGAATGAGTGAATGAATGAATGATTGAATGACATTTTCAAATCGCCAAAGTTAGTTAATTAGTGGATGGATCGAGTGAGTGAATGAATGAATGAATGAATGAATGAATGAATGAGTGAATGAATGAGTAAATGAATGAATGAATGAATGAAAGAAAGAAAGAACAGAATGATTAATGAGCACCTCGCATAATGTTACACCAGATATAAAATCATACGCCGAATACATCATTTTCCAAAAATGCCCAACTCCTCAAAAAGATGATGACGACGACGAGGACGATGAATTTCTTGTAAGTTTATAATAATAATATTAATATACTATAATAATAATAATTATATTATAATTATTATATAAATATAAAATATAATTATATTATAATTATTTTTTTATTTACAGCCGTCCATATCTTCGTCCAGTAATTACGGCTTGGAGTATTGTCCGAGATGCTCTCAGAAACCATCAACTAAAGATGTCGAAGATGCTTGCTTACTGAAATTTCGTTTGTTGTTGTCGTTGTTGTTGTTGTTACTGTTGTGATGATTATGTTTTTTTTTATTCTTTCATTCGTTCGTTCGTTCGTTCATTTATTTATTTGTTCGTTCGTTTGTTTGTTCATTAATTCATTTGTCTAGTCGTTCGTTTATCAATTATTTAATTCGTTAACACTTTTATTCATTCATTCATTTGTTCATTCGTTCGTTCATTCATTTATTAGTTCGTTCGTTAGTTCATTCTCGTTCATTCATACATTCAATCATGCATTCAATCATTAAATCAGTCATATCATAAATTAACTCTCCCATCATTAACAGACTACAAAATCAAAACTAAGAACGGATCGTTCGAAGTGATCGCTTATAACGAACCTGGAAATTTGGTGTTGGAAAAACCCATACAGTTTCAATTTCCGGAAAAATGCTTTTGTGACGTCATTAATAACAATGGTATCCATTATTTTATTTTTTTGGGTTGGAGATGGATAGTTGGATTATAAGATGGGCCAATGCATGAGGGAATGAGTTGAACGATTAGCGATGGTATAAATGTATGTATGAATGAATGAATGAATGAATGAGTGAATGAATAAATGAATGAATGGTGAATGGTGAATGCTCGAATGAATGGATGAAAAAATAGAGATAAATGAATAATTGATAATTCGATACAATCAGGTCATTTCATGATAAGCACCAGCAACAACTTGAAGGAAGATGGCGTGAATCAGATATTCAAAATGGAGAAAAATGACGTCATATTCCGTCTTGGTGATGATAACGATGCTAATAATGTTACTGACCTAATGGTCAACTATCATGACGTCAATTCACTGCTGAACGCGGATACCAAAGACGACTTTTGTTCCAAATATGTTTAAAAATTGTCAAAAAATTGATTTTTTTTAGTTTGATTGTTTTCATTGCTATTGTTACTAGCTCAACATGATGCATATGCTTACAATAACCGAATTTTAAACCTCCTTTAAACATTATTTTTAGTTAAAAAATTGTATTTTCTTTTTCTGAAGCTTTATTCAGTCATATTTTGAACAATTTGTTTAATTTTTTATGTAATAATTGCAGTTTAATTGAGAAAATTGTATCAAAATCTTCTAAGAAGCTAACCACAATGCTTGAAAATCTCTTTTGCCATCTGTCGATGCTTTTCAAAAGTTTACTTAGTTTTATTATTTCTATGGTAAACAAAACATTGTAGTCAGTCAATTATCGCTTGCAGGTTCCTAAAATTCGGAAATTACTTGGTTAGCTAATTAATTAGTTCACAACATTAAATTTTATTCAAAGTATAAAGTTGTAAAACGATTAGAAAATATTTAATTAATTTACTTTTGAAAAATTAATTAAATTTATGAAAGCTACAATTTTATTAATTTGGTGCACTGTACCATATCCCCACCTGGTCTTCCTACTGCCTAACTTTTAAATTTAACTTAACTTTAAAAAATCTAAACAATAGTAAATATACTAATTTAAAAACTGTTTGTTTTTAGAATCCATTGAGTTTGACAGTTAGTTGTTCAGTTAGAGTTAGACTGTTGTTTTAGTTTAGAGAGGATTAAGAAGAATATTAACCATTATTAACAACATTATTAAAAATAAAATATATTAAATTAATTAAGTAAAATCCTTTTTTTATTATTTTTTAGTTTCCTAAATTAATAAAATTTGATTAAATATCTTTTTTCTTTCATGATTTCTTCCATCCATCAGATCATCAACCAAAGAATATTAACAGAAGACCTGTTAAAAAATGGATAATGTTGACGATGATATCGGTCTTGGAAAACAAAAGCTTTCAAAAATTGCAAAGGTAATTTACTATTATTCTTTTTATTATTAA